ACATAAGTTTATTTCAAACACTGGTTGTTTAAACCAGCTAGAATAGCGCAAGCTTAAACCTGGACTTTTTCCCTTACTGTGCACCTCTGACTTTCCTCTAGTTAATCTGAGTTTTCTGTCAAAAGAATTAAAGTATTTTGGGGTCTTTCTTGTCTTTATTTATGAAAAAAAAAGTTAAAAGAGACAGGAAAGGGCGACTCAAACCCAGGCCCTTGCGGCAAGGACTCAGCTTTGTACATGGGGAAAGAGCATTTAAGGAACTGGGGTTGTCTGATAGAAAGATATATAGCATCAGCACAGCAATGACATTTCCACATACAGCTGCTGCTGCATCTGCTGCTTGTGGTAACAGGTAAGGTCACCTGTATAGGTAATTTAGCGGATCACTGACCTCCACCCCAAAAGGACAGATTTCAGAAGGAACTTGGGTGTCAAGCAGATCTCTTTAGATAGTGTCCTGCCACATCCTGAATGATAAGTGATTCCCATAAAAAAAACTCAAATTAATAAAAATGGCATGTAATATTCTCTTGTCATCAATGAAACTTTGCTTTACTGTGCAATAAGTAGAAGAGAGCTTTTCTCTTAAATCTAAAATAATCAATGATAATAGAATGCAGAGTTTCTTGCAAAATGAGTTATGCATCACAGTGCACCACATTCAACTCAGGAAATCATTGCAGCAAAGGTTCCAGCCACTCAGGGACCTTTGCACCTGGTTAAAACAGCCAAGGTGAGTGTATATACACTCAACTGGCAGTTACTTAGCCTACACTCATTGATGTAAATGAGGTGGACAGAACAATAGAAACACCTGTGCCACAGCTACCTTGTGATTATGTAGATTACTTGTCAGTGTGCAAACTGACCAGAAGGTGGACAATTCTGATTAATCCAAACACTGAACTCTCATATTTAGTGTCGATGTGTTTTAAACTGGGCACACTGATCAGTTAGAGTTGGTAACAATTCACCCTGACCTCATGTATAAATATATGTAATAAAATATTGTGTTATTGTATCTGAGTTTTATTTTTTCCATTTAAGCATCATGGCAAGACATTTTTATTTTTAACTAACCTTACTAAACTCAGCTAAAGAAAGAACATTTTACAGGCATAGTCAAAAGACAATTTGCATTATTGTATAATTACATTATTCCTCAAAATTATTTGAGATAAAGTGTATCCAAATGTAGGCGAGATGGACACAACACCAGCCATATAAGGATGCCAATATGAATATTAATATTGATCATAAGTGTTAGTATGTAGCATATATGGAGGGGTGAGTACACCCCTTACATTTTTATAAATCTTGTCATCATCTTTAGAAGAGGCTTCCTTCTGGGACGACAGCCATGCAGACCAGTTTGATGCAGTGTGCGGCATATGGTCTGAGCCCTGACAGGCTGGCCTCCTATGTCTATTTCCCAAAGACAACCTCTGGATATGACGCTGAGCACATGCACTCGACTTAATTTGGTGGCGAGGCCTGTTCTGAGTGGAACCTGGGCCTTGTTTCAGAAAGCAGGTTCAACAAACTCTTAGGGTAAACCTGAACTCTGAGTTGACGAACTCTGAGCCGTCAAACTCCGAGCTTTCTGTTTCAGAAAGGCCCATCAGAATAAGTTCAGTCAACTCTGAGTATGTTGAGCCTGATGGAAGCGCGTGCGTGGGGATGAAAAAAAGCCTCATCAATGGAGCTCCGATAGTACGATTCACCATGGCAACGGGTAAATAAAGGCAGAGTCTCCATTTTAAATCGGGTGGAGCTAGAAATGTGAGCACGAGCCAACGTGGACGATGATAGGCCTGTTTATTCAGCTGGAACCTGACGGGACTAAATGCCGGTGGCAATAGCTGAAGATGAAAATATTAATGGAGCAGATTAGACACAGTTTAGGCTCCTCACGGACCTGTGAGTGGAAAGTGACAGTCCGACTCAGTCGGCCTATTAATGATTTTTTTGCTATGTAAAATGTGTCTAGCTTCAAACTGACAGAAGTTTTAGACGTCTATGTTACATTAATATAATCTTGCTCATTTCGTATTTTATGAAATGCTGTCAAAACACATTCAGATTGTCAGCAGAGAATGAAAAACTCAATTTTAAACTACATGTATTTATTTCAGCTGCACCACAGTCATGGTCACTCAGAGATATTCACATCATATCCAGTTGATAACTATGATAGGAATGTTCAATCAGTGCGACTACAAGATGAGAGATTACTGTTCATTGATCAGTTTTATACAGATTAGGCCTACTTTAAACAGTGAATACTGCAGCACTGTAGCGCACGGGAGGCCTAAGTGTTTTTGTGCAACTGTTGCCAACCTGACAGCTGCCTTAATGTCCACAGAGTCGGACAGTGGAGCTTATAGATTTTATTCTGTGCTGAGGATAAATTTACGATGTCCAAAGATTACTCTCTGTCCATACATCGATGACAGATTGATCATAAAAGCATCATGTTCAAGATTATGTTTGGGTAAAAAAAACACACTAAACAGCCTATTTAACTGTAATTCCGATGTTTCTAAAGACGTAATTGCGTTCATTTATGTGCTTTGATAGCGACAGTATGAATGAGGAAATGAAACGGTGTGTGGGACAGCTGCTTCAGGCTCCGCAGGAGGGGAGGAGTCAGAGCGAAACTCAGCGTTAGTTAAGTTAAGTAAGTAAACCTCCCCCCGAGCAGGTCAGGTTCGCAGTGTAAGTTGCCGGGGTTACAGACCTAGAGTTTGTCTGATCTCGCTCTCTGAAACCGAAAACCCAGAGTTTCCCTCATCTCGGGCTCAACTTACTCAGAGTTTTCACTAAACCCGCTTTCTGAAACAGTGCACTGTCCTGTTGAACCGTTGTATGGTCTTCTTCTCGCCTAGGCCATCTTTATGTTTGTTTCAGATCCTCAGAGAGTTCTTTGTTATGAGGAACCATGTTGAACTTCCAGTGAGCAGTATGAGGGAGTGTGAGAGCGATAACACCAAATTTAACACACCTGCTCCCCATTCACACCTGAGACCTTGTAACACTAGAGAGTCACATGACACCGGGGAGGGAAAATGGCTAATTGGGCCGAATTTGGACATTTTCACTTAGGGGTGTCCTCAATTACGTTGCCAGCGGTTTAGACATTAATGGCTGCGTGATGTGTTATTTTGAAGCAAATTTACACTGTTATACAAGCTGTACAGTCACTACTTTACTTTGTAGCAAAGTGTCATTTCTTCAAATATTTACAAAAATGTGAGGTGTGTACTCACTTTTTTTGTGAGATACTGTATATTAGTTATATACTATATATACATTATCATGTTGATATGGCCAACATCTCAGCAAAATGTTACTTATTCACACACTCAGCAGATAGAGAGCAACATTAGCATTCAATAAGAGTCACCATCTGATCTAATATTCACCCTCATTGAGCTCTTTGGTCTCCGCCAACTCCTAAAGAATATCTGGCTCTCGAGCTGCTAAACGTTCCACTATTTTCATCAGCTAGTCTTTAACTTTGTCTGTCTGCTGTTTGGTGTTGAGCAGTAGCGTACAGTGGTTTGATCAGACTTCCAAAGCTGAATTAATTAGTAGAGATTAACCATCAAAAGAGATTACTGAAAAGTCAACAGACAACCACCAAATCAGCTTCTCCTTTTTCATCTACCATCTTCTTTTTGAATTATCTGCACATCAGTAAAGATAAAAAAAACAACTACTGATTGCTAGATGCAAATGAACTCTTTAGTTTTATGTGAAACTAGTTAGTGAACTAGACTTTTATCTGGCCTCATTCTCATACCCAGATTGGTTGAGGATCAGAGGGGCATCCTCAGTCCTGACCAATAGGAAGTCTATTGGACTCTGTGGTGTCTATTTACTTCCTTGTATTTAGCTTGAGAAGCCTTATTTAGCGCAGGTTTGTTATCTGAAACCTTCCCTTAAAAATGTGAAGAATAACCACGTGACTGCAAATCCCTGTAATTAATCAAATGAAAAAGACAAACAAAGGAGTCGGTTTAAATTCTACAAACAAAGCAAAAATTCATCAGCATGGTGGTTAATTTTGAACTTGAATAAACCCAGTTTGTTTTGTCTTCAATCCCTCATTTAATGGCTTAAGCTGCAACCCTGCAGTAGGAACTGAATGCAGGAAAAATTTACATTGCTGGTATTTTGGTTCCTGGTTTTGTTCGTAGTTTGCAGGATTGTCAGCTGAATTTCAGGTTCAAGTATCAATGTAAAGTCAACTGAAATGCACAGAACTCTGTAGTGAAAACATTTTTTAAATGTTTTTCTATATTAAGACAACTGCTACAACTACATCAGTCAAATACTATTTTAAACTAACATTATAAATTTCAAAAATTAACATATTATTTTTTACAAATATAAGAAGGCAAAGCAGGACCGTTAGGGTGATGGGAAAGATCAAAATGCATAACTACTTACTGCCAGTAGTTACTACATCAAAACAGTCGAGACCTTCTGAACGAGTCGTCACTTCCCCTATCATGCCTGCATTCTAGTAAATTTGCACCTATTTATTCATATCCTGCACTGTACTGTGTGTTTCATTCTCCCGTTAAATCTAGTTTGGCTTAATTTTTACCTTTTATTTTATTTTACTCTCACAATCCTATTTATGTGTTTCTTTAATATTTTGTCTTAATGCCTTTATGTCAAAGCACTTTGAAGAGCCTTGTTGAAAGCTGCTTTATCAAATTGAGGCTTAAATGCTATACAAAGAAAATGCCCTGCCTTACATGTTAACAGTGATGCTGCTTCAATTACAAAAGCAAAGCTAAAGCAAAATACAGGACAACTGTGTGTCTCCATGAAAAATGTTTTTAATACTCCCTATAGGTTCAATGTTCAAAACCAGTTTTTCAGCTGGCCTATTGTTCTGAAACAAAGTATGTCACTAAACTCGCCAGGACTGTCACCAGCTTGTTTGGCTGACCTCCAAGTGTATATAAAGATCCTGCAGGTGGATGTGAGTGGCAGAGAACCTTGAGACACAGGTGAGTTCGGAGCATCATGGCTTCCACACTGGTGTTTCTGCTTCAGCTGCTCCTGGTCTCGCTGTCATCTGCATCATATTACTTTGGGGGAACCGTGACCTACACCTACAAAGGAAGAAACCCCGATGGAACATTTAGAGTGAGAGATACACCTTTAAATGATTTGCAACCTGCATTACAGAAAATCTGCGAATATATTTTCATGTTCTCATATTGTGGGAATATGTACTTAAAGTTAACGTATCACTTACATATCATTATTATTGTTGTTCATATGGGTTTGATTATTCAGATTTTTTTCCGCAGGTGGACTTTCGCAACAGGGCAACCTTTGATGACTGTCAGAACTCTCTCAACTGGTCTTGTTACGCCGGCAACTGTGGCTATAATACCACAAGTGAGAGAGGCGTAGTTGACTGGAGCAACAATGCACCACAGTACAACTATCAATGGTGTGAAACTGAAACAGTCAGTACAAGAAGTATCCCAAGTGACAACCCTTTTCAAATGAGGTTAGATTTTTGATTTGCTTAAGACGAGACACCAGAGTCCAAAATTATGAGTTTGCTTTAATCTTTCAATTTTCAGATTTCAAGTTTGACCAACCTTTTTAAAACTCTCCATATTGATTCATATATCATTTGAAAGCTTTTTTTCTAGAGCACAATGTTAGCTAGTTTATATATCACACATTTTGAGATGTGTTTATTTGACAAACAGTAATTTTTATGCTAGGTGTGTTTGTATTTCTGAAAATGACATGTTTCCTGCACGCCAATTCATATTTCTGGCCCTTCAAAGCAGTTGGAACATCATACATTTACACACTGTTTCTCAGGCCTTATAGCACGGCATTTACAGAGGTTTTTAAAAATATCTTTGATCAGTCTCATTTTATGAGGCATTTTATCTGTGAAATTGTGGGAAAAAAGGGTTCCAACACACAAATGAGTGTCATCTTTTCAATAAATCCATGAAATATTTTGATAAACTGTTCTGTAAATGTCTGGCCTTTTGGTATATTATCACAATAAAACCAAAAAAAATCAATTTATGTTTTTATCAGTTTGTAAAGTATTATTGTGATATGACTACTTTGGGGGGAGGGGTGCTTGACTGTGATGTCTCACCTCGTGAATATTTTTGCTCTATTGCTGTAATATTTATATGATATTTATCCTGCTAAAACTTCAGTTGCACACAGTTGTATTTGCTGTGGTTCTGCGTATCATAAAAGTAACAGCTGCTAGATATTGTATTTCAAGAGTGTTGTTTCCATCACACCAGCACTGCTAGCTGTTGTTGGATCCCAACGCAAAACTGGGTTCATAATTTGAGACTTATGACTTATGTGGATTTGGGAACAAGATCTGACACTGGAAAACCAAACCAATCGCCAGAAGTTGCCATTCTACCTTTACTACGGTGAGTCCCCTGCTGTTATCATTAAACAGTAACGATAACTTCTAATCACTTTGCTAAAGAACCTGTGGGAAATTTCCTACAATGACCACCAGTAGTAGATAAAAACACCCACTCTGCCAGCCAGATAGATGGAACAGCTATTCAGACATGCTGTGTGTAATTCTTCTAATTTAATCCTTTGTTAAAAGTATCCTTGGCAGCAGACTGTTGCTAACCTCTGTTAATGTGTCTGTTCAAGAGTTCCTCAGAACTGCCCACGGACATACAAGCTGATGTCCTTTGATCCTGATGGTGACAAAGTTCGATGCAGATATGGAAATATCATAGGTACTGAGTGCAGCTCGTGCAACCAGCCTTCAGGCTTTGACTTAGATCAGGTTTGTCGACAAATCAGTTTCCCAATACCTTGTACAACACTGGATTGATGCTTTGCCTCCCTTAACTACTAAATGTTCACATTGTCAGGGCTCTTGCACATTACACTACCGAGACTCTTATGCCAACACCGGAGTGTATGGATTTGAGTTGGTGGTGGAGGACTTCCCACAAGGGCACATCTCTCTGACCTACACTGATGGATCCAGATCCTCCAGGGATCCACTGATTGTTAGGAAGAAGAGACAAATCACTGTGGGGGCAAAGGCCCAGCCTACTACGACCAAGACCACTGTGGGGAAAAAGCCCCAACCTACTACAACCAAGACCACTGTTGGGACTAAGATTCAGCCTACCACGACAAAGACCACTGTGGGGACTAAGACGCAGCCTACTACGACCAAGACCACTGTTGGGACTAAGACCCAGCCTACCACGACAAAGACCACTGTGGGGACTAAGACCCAGCCTACTACAACCAAGACCACTGTTGGGACTAAGACCCAGCCTACCACGACAAAGACCACTGTGGGGACTAAGTCCCAGCCTACTACAACCAAGACCACTGTTGGGACAAAGACCCAGCCTACTACGACCAAGACCACTGTGGGGACTAAGACCCAGCCTACCACAACCAAGACCACTGTGAGGACTAAGACCCAGCCTACTACGACCAAGACCACTGTGGGGACAAAGACCCAGCCTACTTCGACCAAGACCACTGTGGGGACAAAGACCACTGTGGGGACAACTACATCCACAACAACTGCAACCACAACAACTGCAACCACACCAACCACAACCGATCCACCAACTACAGCCGCAGCAACCACAACCGATCCACCAACTACAACCGCAGCAACAACAACCGATCCACTAACTACAACCGCACCAACAACAACCGATCCACCAACTACAACCGCACCAACAACAACCGATCCACCAACTACAACCGCAGCAACCACAACCGATCCACCAACTACAACCGCAGCAACAACAACTGATCCACCAACTACAACCGCACCAACAACAACCGATCCACCAACTACAACCGCACCAACCACAACCGATCCACCAACTACAACCGCAGCAACAACAACTGATCCACCAACTACAACCACACCAACCACAACCGATCCACCAACTACAACAGCAGTAACAACTACACTCATACCCTGGGATACCACAACCACTGAAACAACTACTACAACCACCCTGCCATACACTAGCAGCAGGACACACCTGCACGCCAACACTCCTCCTCTCAGTAAACTACCATTGCAATTCTCTTTCTTTGGTAAATCAGGTTTTACTACATATTTTAATGAGCCAATGCACACTTAATCACAATGAGCAAAATTGCTGCTGCACAGCCTTTCAAGCATGTTGCAACTCTGGTTACACCTTAACTTGTAACGTTACACATGGCCATTATTCCAGAAATACTGAGGTCTGGAGTCTCCATAGAAACGTTTGACCAGAAACCAGATTTTTGATGACTGAAACAGAAATAAACATTCAGTTAACTATTGTCTTTAATTTTTGTTTCCCACCATGAAGATCTCTGTCCTAGTGATGGGTTGGTCACGAATAAGTCAGCTCTATTAGCCGGTTCTTTTAAATCAACAATGGGTACTGGCTCCCGTGTGAGAGTCCAATCCTTTCCCCACCCTACGAAAAAATAAATGCACGACAATGAACAAATTACACTCACTGCCTTGGTGTGGCCAGAGTGCAAAAGCTTTGAAATTCTCATCCAGTGGCAGGTATTGATTATTTATTGCACTTTGGAATCTAAATTGGTCTTTTTTGAACTCCAGTGGACCCACCTGCTCCCTCTTGTCAGGAGGGACTCTACTTGCCGAAGTTTGTGCACCCAACACCTGAAAATGAAGCACATATCCAAGCAGAGGTCAACAAAGAGGTGGAGATCAGAGTCAAAGCACAAGCTACACATGCAGAGTGAGAACTAATGTGATTAATGTGGCTGCAAAACATTTTCCTCATTTCAAGAAGACAGATAACTCCAGCAACAATGAGGAAATCTCTGGTTTCTTTGTTTTGTTTTCATACAGAATACGTGATATCATCATCAGTGGGCCACTGAATATCCGAAAGCTCAGGACCACACGTGATGAGTTTGTCATTAGGTGGACGCCTACTCCAGATCACCTGGGAGATCATTACCCCATCTGCTTTGCTGTTGAGTCAGTGACAGGGTGAGCCTTGGGTTCATTTCCTTTCTGATAGAATTTGTATGTGTGGAAACCCTTGATTTAACTTTTTCCACATTTTGCAGATCTACTGAAACTACTACTGAAACCACACAGGATTACAATCACTTCACCACCCCATCTTCACGGTAACATTCCTCTTTGTTTAGTGTTTAGTGAAGTACATGTCTAAGTACCAAGGTAGAGTGCAGTACTCATTTTGTACCTGAGTCTGAAAGAAAAAAATTAAGAAATCTGTGGATGAATAAGGAACCTATTAAGTTGCCAAGATTTACAAGAATTCACAATCATTCATTAAAAATAAAAAAGTAAAAATGTATCTAAAGTCAGAAAATTCAACGGCTGACGGCATCTGCATTTTCAAACTTGGTCTCAGGTCTGATTTTTTAAGATGCTTGGAGGGTTAGGAAGATTGGTTTTGTTTATGAATCCAAGGGTCAAGGACATAAACAAATCCAACAATGAACCAATACATTACATTCCCCCCACCAAAACCAATTTTCACAATGGCATATCAACCTTCTTGAATGAGCAACCTGCAGTTTAACTGTCAAGTCAGTGTTCACTGATGCTTTTCAGGGCTGGCGTTTATCAGTCTGAGATGAGGTGTGTTCTGGTGGACATCGGGACGACGCAAGGTGAGTCTAAGAGCTTGTTTAATGACACTTAACCCCTCGTTGCTCCAGAGGTGTGCGACATCTGACATGTATAGCAATTGGATAAAAGCGTCAGCTAAATAAATAAATAAATGTAATGTAGTGGTGTTTATTTTTGCTATCGCATGCTAAATGTTGAAGTGCCAAATGTTGTCTGCAAGCTGGTGTACATTAGAAAACAATACAGATTACAATACAGATACATACAGATTGTATGTATCCTTAAGGTCTAACAAACATGCTGAGTTAATTTCCTTTGGTGGCACATTAATACATTTCTTGGTGCATTACTGCCACCTGTAGATAAGTGAAATAGTGTGACACGATTACATGCGTGTGCACACGTCTTCAAGTGCGTCATTGTGAATGTCAAAATATAAACAAAATGGTGACCCACTAATAGAAAACAGCTCTATTGCACTATTAGAGGTAAACATGGGCTTGAATTACTGATAACATTATCAGGTTAATGTCATCATGGTTACCCTGGCAATACACCCCCGCCTGATGTTATATATAAATAATAGTATAAATATATGTACATCTGCATTTAGCAATATATTCATGTCAGCAAAAATGTTTTTTCACAATAGTTTTTATAAGACATACACAGTTTTGAGCATAGTATTTAGTAAATCATTTAAATATTCATGTCTTGCTCTAGTTGTAGCCAATGTGATCTGCAGTCAGTCCACAATGACAGTAGAGGTTGAGAAATCTTCATTCTCTGGACTCAGTGAGGATCATTTGCGGCTCAGTGACCCCACCAACGCCGCCTGCAGCCTCCGCACACACTCCAACAGCACTCACATCATCGCTGTCATCCCCCTCAATGCTTGTGGCACTCAGATCGAGGTAAGGCAGCGTGATTAGTTTTATTTCCCACTGTGCTCTTCTCTCAGTTACAGTTGATTTTCCTTTTCATTAGTAGTGTGAGGACTGAATCCATAACTTTTTACTACGCAGGAAGATGATGACAACCTCATTTTTAAGAATGAGATCACCACGATTGACAACACAGAAGACCTGATCACCAGGAAACAGCTGCTGGAAGTGCATTTCTTCTGCCAGTACCCCAAACGGGTAAACGTGACACTTGGCTACACAAAACACAGGAAAAGTGTCACAGTGTGGGAGAAAGGCTTTGGCACGTTAACTTACCGGTTTGAGTTTTTTCCTGATAACCAATTCCAAACCATGATTGATCCAAATTCGTACCCTGTGGAGTTTGACGTAGGGAGCAGGATCTACATGCAGATAGATGCCACCTCTTCAGTCAACACCACCGAGCTGTTTGTGGAGTCCTGCAGCGCTGCACCATATGACAACCCAAACTACCGGCCAACCTACTCCATCATTGAAAATGGGTGAGTTCAGCCCCTTCTGGCAACAGAGGGCATAACAAAGTATTTGTAAAGATTTGTTGTTTGCTTGTGTATGAGACGTTTGTAACTAAATTGCATGACTCAAAATTGCCTTTTAAATACCTTCAATAAAATAATACCTCTGCTTCTTTAATGGCACCCATTGTAAGTCATGGAGTAACAGAAGCAACATCACTTATGTTGTTTTTGTTTTTTGATGACTAGGTGTAAAGTGGACTCGACTGTTGAAATTTATTCCTCCACCCACGACAGACAATTCCGGATCGGCATGGAGGCCTTCAAGTTCAGAGGCTTGCATGATCAGGTGAAGAATGGACTATGTGGTTAGACTGGATCAAGTGCCAGGAAATGTCTCTGTTATCTCTAAATGTGTCAATGAATAGGTCCAAATCATGTTGGTATCTAATGCTCACCTGTTGTATTCAGATGTACATCAGCTGTTCAGTCCTGATGTGTGAAGTAGGGGACCCCAACTCCAGGTGCTCACAGGGATGCATCAACTCCACATCGCCAGACAGTCAGCACCATAACCACCAAAAAAGAGAGGCTGCCACCCAGAGTGTAAGGCACCTTGTTTCCCAGGGTCCCCTGCGCTTCAGGAGATCAGCAGAAAACACTGGAAGCAGAGGTATAGTGCAGGGAGTGTATTTTTCTCCAACAGCACACTCGCCCCGTTAGACTACAGACAAGATCTAATTCAAATTGTGCTCCTCTTTTTCTCCAGTGATTAGCCTGGATCTGAACCTGGTCTTCATTGCTGGTTGTCTTCTTGCTGCTGTTGGCATGCTCTGTGCATTGTCCATCTACAAAGCCAAAATGTCAAGGGTCAAATACCAACCTTTGCCTACGTTTGTAAATTAAGACAGCAGCATGTGCAGAATACCAAAAAGTTTTTTTCTGAATGCTTTCACATAAACACTTATTCTTGAAGCTCTATTTCTGAAACCATTTACCATTGTAACCAAATCATTTAGCAAGTGTGCCAAACTGTAAAGGGAGTGAGGAGAAATCAGAGCGTGTGTGGGTGACCATGTTCTCAAGTATGGGATGAGCTTGAGGGAGGCTGGGCCACGGGTTCAATCCCAGTATTTTTCTGATTGCTTAGGCACTTCTTTTTGAAACTAACCACAAATCCTTTACACTAAAAAAACAAAACATTAAACATCTCTTGCAAAAAGTCTGGTTGCAAAATTGTGGTTTTGGATCAATACAGTACACACAAATGTCTTTGATTAAGCACACGAAGTAGCAACTACGCAAAAATGAAAAACACATTTTCCGTGTGGGACATAGTAGTTTGCAATAGAGTTTTGTCATGCATGTAGTACAGTAAAACACACATACACACAGGTGCCCAAATTCTGTGAAAAACATTTGATTGGTTTTACAGTAGTGACCCACGTTGTAAATATATATTTGATTATCAGACATTGTATATTAAATATATAATTATGCACACATTAATTAATTTTATGTTTACATCTTGGGAAGTTACTACTGTGTACAAGTTGAAAGAGGAAGTCGTCTGTGCCGGTGCAAATGGGAAACCGTGAAACAATCTGCCTCAACCGGTTGGGGGTGAAGAGAGAGAGAGATAGACTTGTTTAATGAAATGTATGGGGCTGATTGTTCTTATGTTGTATATATGATGCTTTGGCAATAAAGCTAATTTGAATTTGAATTTGAGAGGGGGGGGGCGAGGGAGAGAGAGAGAGAGAGAGGGCAAAAGAGAGGGCGAGAGAGACAGAGGGCAAGAGAGAGACACACACGCTTACTGTTTTGTTTATTTATTTATTTTTTATATATTTTTATTTTTTTAACACACACACGCTTGCTGTTTTATTTATTTATTTTATTTAAATTTTTTAATATTTCTTTTTTTTTTTTTTTCTTTTTTTTAACACAAACATACGCTTTGATTACTTTATGCTTTAATTACTTGTTTAATGAAATGTATGGGGCTATTTGTTCTTATGTTTTATATATGGTGCTTTGGCAATGTTGTTGTTACATTCATGCCAATAAAGCTAATTTGAATTGAATTGAAATTAAGAGAGCAGGAGAGGAACAGAGAGAAAAAGAGAGGGATGGAAGGAGAGAGAGGGGAGGGAGGCAGCCTACACAATATCCACACAGAGGTACAGACAGTAAAGGTGATGTTGCTATAGACTAAATGAAAAATGGTACAGATATTTATAGTAGTGTTAATGGTAACAGTCGTAATGTTAATGATAACAATAGGACTAGTAACAATAGTCGTTGCAGCAGAGGGTGTCGAGCAGGAACACGGGGGCAGCAGGTGACCCGCAACCACAGATCCAGACTCCACAGCTCCAGAGCCAGAAAACCTGCAGGAAGTGATAGAGGAGAGAGGAGAGGGACGAGAAAGCACAAGACTACCAGAAAGGGGAGAAGTTGTGTTAGTAACATGCAATAATGGGATGAGGTTGCATACAGAGGGAGAGAAAGTAGAGGAGAGAGGAGCTCAGTGCATCATGGGAAATCCCCCGGCAGTCTAGGCCTATAGCAGCATAACTAAGGGATGGTTCAGGACTCACCTGAGCCAGCCCTAACTATAAGCTTTATCAAAGAGGAAAGTCTTAAGCCTACTCTTAAATGTGGAGATGGTGTCTGCCTCCTGAACCCAAACTGGAACCTGGTTCCACAGGAGAGGAGCTTGATAGCTGAACGCTCTGGCTCCCAGTCTACTTTTGGAGACTCTAGGAACCACAAGTAACCCTGCATTCTGGGAGCGCAGTGCTCTGGTGGGGTAGTAAGGTACTATGAGCTCTTTAAGATAAGATGGTGCCTGACCATTAAGAGCTTTGTAGGTAAGAAGAATGATTTTAAATTCTATTTTGGATTTTACTGGAAGCCAATGCAGAGAAGCTAAAACAGGAGAAATGTGATCTCTTTTCCTGGTTCCTGTCAGAACACGTGCTGCAGCATTCTGGATCAGCTGAAGAGTCTTAATGGACTTTTTCGAGCAGCCTGATAATAAGGAATTGCAGTAATCCAGCCTAGAAGTAACAAATGCATGGACTAGTTTTCCTGCATCATTTTTACACAGGATGTTCCTGATTTTCGCAATATTACGTAGGTGAAAATAGGCGGTCCTTGAAATTTGCTTAATGTGAGACTTAAACGACATGTCCTGATCAAAGATAACTCCAAGATTCCTCACAGTGGTGCTGGAGGCCAGGGCGATGCCATCAAGGGAAACTATATCTTTAGATAATGCGTCACGGAGGTGCTTAGGCCCCAGAACAATAACTTCAGTTTTATCTGAGTTTAACATTAGAAAATTACAGGTCATCCAGGTTTTAACATCCTGAAGGCACATTTGAAGTTTAGGTAACTGATGAGTTTCATCTGGCTTGATCGATAGATATAACTGACTATCATCTGCATAACAATGAAAGTTTATAGAATATTTCCTGATAATATTGCCTAAAGGAAGCATAGAAAGTGAAGAGGATTGGTCCGAGGATAGATCCTTGAGGAACTCCATGACTAACTTTGGCGTGCATGGAGGACTCATCGTTAACATGTACAAACTGAAATTGATCTGATAAATAGGACTTAAACCAGCTTAGAGCAGTTCCTTTAACTGCCAACAGGTCAAATTTACCCGGCTGTTTTTTGATTGTATGTATCTTTTTTTCAATATAATATTCAAGTCCCCCAGTCTCTGACTTTTCCTAAAAGTGTGTTATATAGCACCCCCTATTGTTAAAAAATGTCAATATAAAGCCAGATTTAAAAAATGGACATTTACCTATAAGCGCCAGCGGGTGCAATTTACCCCTATAGAGAATACAGCATCATACACATTTTAGCGCTGTTCATCTCGCGCATTTAGATAAACATTCTAGTTTCTATTGGTAATGCCTTCCCCACTACAGGCATTACACTTGCTCAGCGCAGTGAGTGGAGGAGACTCTGACGGTGGGGGCTGAGCAATGTGTCCTGGGTTGATTCTGCATCTGACAGCGATCCACTTGAATGAAGTAAACATGAATAAAAGCCGCTCATAGGTTTTGTGTAGGCTACACGATCATCAAAACTAATGCTGCAGTAGCCTAGTTTTTCCCTTTGATAAAGGTGTGTTCTGCGGCCCCTTCAAGAGAGTGAAGTGCAGCTATAACTTTTCCAGTGCTGTGTATTTTTTAGTAACAGTGATCATTAGGCCTATACATTTTTCCGTTGGGTAAAAATCTACTATGAATTTTGGAATTGATAATAATCTTCTTTTTTTCAAATAAATAGCCTACTTTTATTTGGACTTTCAAACTTTTATAGCTATGTGTTACTTTCTGGATGCCCAATGGAGTCCGAAAAACAAGCAGAACAGTAAGAACTAGCCGACATTATGAGGCTATTATTACCGCCTATAAAACACTACAACAGTCAGACTTTCTTGTAAATTGTATACTGCATTTAAATTCAAGCTGTGTTTAGAATCTAACTCGGCTATAACATCTATAACAGCGGCGAGTGGATGACATCAAAAGAGCCGCCGCCTGTGAACGTGCCCTTCACAGATGCGCAGCGCAAGCGATCGACCTGCACGTGAAGACAATGAATAAAATAGAAGAAACATTCTGTAATGCCTGAATATGGGGATGGTTTATAGGAAACGCACAGCCAATGTGCTAAATGTTTCCCAAAGTGTGTTGGAGCAACTGTAGCAGAAATAATCACAAATCACGGCATTTTTATAGTGGGTACAACAAACCCTGGCGATTCTAGTGTTAATGCCAATGAAATGTTCCAGTCTCTGCAATAGGATCTGATGGTCAATGGTATCAAATGCAGCACTAAGATCTAATAAAACCAGTACAGAGACAAGTCCTTTGTCTGATGCAATAAGGAGGTCGTTAGTATTTTCACCAGTGCTGTCTCTGTGCTATGATGAGCTCTAAATCCTGACTGAAAATCCTCAAATAAACTATTGCTCTGTAGAAAGTCACACAGCTGTTTACAACTGCTTTCTCCAGACCTTAGAGAGAAATGAAGGTTAGATATAGGTCTATAGTTGGCTAAGAAGAGGTTTAATTACAGCTACTTTA